CGAGCTGTAGAGAGATTTTGGACTCGGGAGATTTTTTAGTCTGTAGTGAAGTCAGTCAGCTGTGACCATCGGCACCCTGAATCCACATCTGAAGGCATCACCCACAGGTCTGCTTATCTCTCCTCCTTGGCCTCTCGTTCGCTTTCTCCACGTCTGGAATTTCTATTCTTCTTTGTTTATGCTTCTTTCCCACTTTCTCGCATCTGACAGTGTGTTGTGCTCTTTGATGCAATGCTGTTTTTTCTACATCAAAGATTTAATGAGTGACTTGTATTGCTTGTAAGTAAAATAATAATAATACAAAAGTCTAGGAACACAATGTAGTTACAGAATTGTCCAGCTTTAAATAAGGAAATTATCAAAACTCTTTGCTCGTTATTGAGTCAGACCTGAAATTACCATATTTTCTCTCTGTCCCTACAGTGAAATCGTATTTGAGGAGAGAAAACCACTATTTAAAAAACAAAACTGACTTTTATGAACTGGCCTACACGCAGTCCTGACCTGAATGTCATACTTCATAATCATTTACAATATATGTTGTGTCTTAAGGGGATAGTTCACTCCAAGATGAAAATTTTGTCATCATTAACTCTCCTTCATGTGGTTTAAACCCTGTTTAAGTGCTTTCTTTTGAAGATAATTTGAAGAATGTTGGAAATTCTCCATGTCTGGAATTTTCTTCTTCTTTGGCGAGTTCTTTCTCGGATCTGAAGACTTCAGTTGTTTATTTCACAGTGTAACTACAGAAAAGTCAAGCTTTAAATGGGAAAATTATCGAAAATCTTTGGTCATTTTTGATCGAGATGCTAATGGTCCAATCTGAATCAATAATCTATGCTAAGCTAAGCTGAAAATGGTCTGGCAACATCTGGAGATTGGCTATAAATGGAGTCAAAAATAGGCCACTATTGAATTTGTTGTTTTAGTAAAGATAAATGACCATCATAAATCTCTATTCCTAAAGAGAAGTCCTATTTAAAGAAAGAAAACCACTATTAAAATAAAATGAATGTCATGACCTGGCCTACACGCAGTCCTGACCTGAATGTCATACTTCATAATCATTTAAAATATATGTTGTGTCTTAAAGGGATAGTTCACTCCAAAATTAAAATTTTGTCATCATTAACTCTCCTTCATGTTGTTTAAACCCTGTTTAAGTGCTTTCTTTTGAAGATAATTTGAAGAATGTTGGAAATTATCTCCATGTCTGGAATTTTCTCCTTCTTTGGTGAGTTCATACTTTTTTCCACTTTCTCGGATCTGAAGACTTCAGTTGTTTATTTCACAGTGTAACTACAGAAAAGTCAAGCTTTAAATAGGAAATTTTATTGAAAACCTTTGGTCATTTTTGATCGAGATGCTAATGGTCCAATCTGAATCAATAATCTATGCTAAGCTAAGCTAAAAACGGTCCGGCAACATCTGGAGATTGGCTAAATGGAGTCAAAAATAGGTCACTATTGAATTTGTTGTTTTAGTAAAGATAAATGACCATCATACATCTCTATTCCTAAAGAGAAGTCCTATTTAAAGAAAGAAAACCACTATTAAAATAAAATGAATGTCATGACCTGGCCTACACGCAGTCCTGACCTGAATGTCAAACTTCATAATCATTTAAAATATATGTTGTGTCTTAAAGGGATAGTTCACTCCAAAATGAAAATGTTGTCATCATTAACTCTCCTTCATGTGGTTTAAACCCTGTTTAAGTGCTTTCTTTTGAAGATAATTTGAAGAATGTTGGAAATTATCTCTCGTTCACTTTCTCCATGTCTGTAATTCTCTCCTTCTTTGACGAGTTCATACTTTTTCCCCTTTCTCGCATCTGAACACTTCAGTTGTTTATTTCACAGTGTAACTACAGAAAAGTCAAGCTTTAAATAGGAAATTTTATTGAAAACCTTTGGTCATTTTTGATCGAGATGCTAATGGTCCAATCTGAATCAATAATCTATGCTAAGCTAAGCTAAAAATGGTCCTGCCAGATCTGGAGATAGGCTGAATGAATTTAAAATAAGCCACCACTAGATTTGTTGTTAAGCAATGATAAATGACCATAATATATCTTTGACTATACAGTGAAATCACATTTGGAGAGAGAAAACCTGTTAGAAAAACAAACCTGACTGTCATGAACTGGCCTACACACAGTCCAGACCTGAACGACATACTTTATAATCATTGAAAATATATGTTTTGTGTTAAGGGGATAGTTCACTCCAAAATGAAAATCTGGTCTTCATTAACTCTCCTTCATGTGGTTCAAAACCTGTTTAAGTTCTTTCTTTTGAAGAAAATTTGAAGAATGTTGAAAAGTATCTATTGTTCGCTTTATCCACGTCTGAAATTCTCCCCTTCTTTGGCGAGTTACTTTTTCCCCTTTCTCGCATCTTTTTTTATTTCACGACGTAACTACAGAAGAGTCAAACTTTAAATAAGAAAATTATCGAAAATCATAGGTTGAGATGATCGAGATGCTAACGGTCCAATCCGAATCAATGATGTATGCTAAGCTAAGCTAAAAACAGTCCCGCCCGATCTGAATATTGGCTGAATGGATTCAAAAATAGTCCACCATTAGATTTGATGGTTTAGCAATGATATATGACCAAAATATATCTCTGACCATATGGTGAAATCACACTTGGAGAGAGAAAACTGCTATTAAAAAAACATCATCAACTGGCCTACACAAAGTCCAGACCTGAATGACATACTTCATACTTTCTGTTTAGGTTTTAAAGTAAAAATTCTGTCATTATTTACTCTCCTTCAGTTCCAACCTTTTTGAGTCTTTATAGGTCCTGTCTTTTGTTGAACACAAGATATTCTGAAGAATGTTGGAAACGCTGACTTCCATACTCTGTTTTTCTTACTATGGATGTCAGTGGTTTACTGGTTTCCAGCATTCTTCAAATTATTTTCTTCTTTTGCAACTTTAAAGAGGAACAGGTTTGGGACCACAATAAGGAGACTAAATGTTGAGTACATTTTTTTTCAGGGTGAGTTATCTCTTTATTGAAGACAGAACAAGTTTGAGTGATTTATCAATACTCAGTCGGTACTAAGGAGCCCAATGTGAGCCAAGTAAATTTACCTCGCACTATTAAACCATCATCACCCTGAATCAACATCTGATGGAACCCCCACAGGTCTGCTTATCTCTCCTCCTTGGCCTCTCTTTCGCTTTCTCCACGTCTGGAATTCTCTCCTTTTTTTGCCAAATTTATGCATTTTCCACTTTCCGCATCTGACGCTTGCTGTTTTGTAAGTCTGTAATCGAGTGATTTAAGGTTGTGTTGCTTGAAACCAAAAAATGTACAGTAACTGTACTAATATAATACTAATACTAAATACTAATATGTACCCTTGAGGTATTAATATGGAACTTTTAGGTACAAATTTGTAGCTTTTGAAAAGGTATACCCCAGTGGCAGCTTGCGTACCTTTATTTCTGAGAGTGCAGGCACTGGTGAATAACAGCAGATTTGGGTCTTGTTGGGTGATTTTTTTTTTTCCGGTCCAGTCCACAATTTATAAAAGCAATAGCAACAGCAGCCCAGCCGACAAATAAACCTTATCAAGACAGTCAATAAATGAATAATGGAGCTCAGCTGCCATAATAATGTTCCAAACTTCAGTTCTTGTGTGGAGCACTGCGGAAATTTTTTAGAAAAAATGTAAAAAAAAAAAAAAAAATTATAATAATAATAATAATTCTTATCCATACAAGGGGAAGTCAATGGGGTACAATGATCTGCTGTTTTGAACTCCACTGACGGACAACAATGTCTTAAAAGAAAACTGTCTGGAACAATTTAATCCTGTGAAGATTTCGGTCTGTTTTATTACACGTAATTAAGTTAATTTCTTAAATTCTTAAATTAAGACTTCTCCTGTTTTATACAAGGACAAAACTATGATGTATAACACACATTATGAGAGAAGTTACTATCAAGCTGCCGTTTACCCAATGTTTACCCAATATCATAAGCACAGTGATTAGGTTTTCATTTATAAAAGCATCAAAAATGTTAAAGATGACGATAAAAAAGATTTGTGAATTAATAAACGGCATAAAATAGTAAGCATTCAATAAACAAATACAGAGGACATTCTCAACAAAGGACTTTTAACATGCAAACATGAACTTGTCCAAGGGAATTTTTAACTTACAGCTGAAATATCGCAATGTAAACCAATAATCCATATTGTATGTGGAGTATTAATGTCAAAAAAATCTATTATAGTAAAGAAAGGAGCGGGAAAGATCACTTTATGTGTATTATAATAACGCAGCTGTTAGTCCTGTAGCGCCCTCTGGAGGTGATTGAAAAAAACAACCGCGATAACATGAAGTGGAGACCAAGAAAAACGATATTAATTTATTAAAATACGTATTAAAAGAAAATATTAATTAAGACACTACTCCAAAGGTTAATGTGTTATCGATTTTTGGAAGTTTGAAAGCAATTCATGAGTGAGAAGTGTCAATTTTACCAATTTTCTGATCACCTCAGGTAAGATCTCATTGGTTAGTGCTGCAGATTTTGATGTAATACTTGTTTAAACAGGATGTTTCCAACAATTATTGGTGTTTTACTGTTTTTTTTTTTTTACAAAGCAATAAGCAGCTAAACTCTATTATTATTATTATTGGTTAGCATTGTTGCCTCACAACAAGAAGGTCGCTGATTCGAGTCCCGACTGGGTCAGTTGGCATTTCTGTGTGGAGTTTGCATGTTTTCCCTGTGTTGGCGTGGGTTTCTTCCAGGTGCTCTGGTTTCCAAAGATATGTGCTATAGGTGAACTGAATAAACTAAATTGTCCGGAGTGTGTGTGTGTGAATGCGTGTGTATGGATGTTTCCCAGTACTGGGTTATAGCTGAAAGGGCATCCGCTGTGTAAAACATGTCCTGGATAAGTTGGCATGAATAAAGGGACTGAGCCAAAGGAAAATGAATGAATGAAACACCACTGACACGAGAGCCCAAATAATTGATAATCTTTATTCATTTGTTTTAATTTACTCCATCATTCTATTAAACGAGAAATAATGATGATTGGTCTTGCAAATGCAATCTCTATTAAAGTTTTCAAATAATTAAAAAGTGACCTACAATATGAAGATTCCTGAGAATCTATTAAGCATGAAACCGGTTGATTTCAAGCAATAATATTTACATACATGTCTGAGTAAATGCATATAAGATTTCATTTATTACATATAATATACACAAAACTGCATGCTTTGATTTAACCAGTGCATTGAGACAAATAGTATGTGACGAACCCAAAACCTTGTTACAGCACTGACCGAATACGGTCTATCCAAAGATGTATGCTTATAAAATGTAGGCTTGATGCCATAATAATTCCTGTGGCTAATAAATGTGTTTGAATGAGTGAGAAAACACACAGATTTCTCCTTTAGCACACATTGCAAAAAATACATTGTCTTGTTTGTAGTCCAAATATTTAAAAAATACTTAAATCAAGAAGCATTTTCTAGACACGCAAAAAAATATTGCTTTTTTAGAAATAATAAGTCAAAATGAAGTGAGTTTTTCCTTAAAACAAGCAAAATAATGTGCAAGTAGGGTAAGCTGAATAATGTTATTCCAAAGTGAAATCAAGATTATTTTGCTTACCCCATTGGCAGATTATTCGGCTTGTTTTAAGGAAAAGCTCACTTAATATTGACTTATTATTTCTGAAAACAACACAATATGTTTTGCTTGTCTAGAAAATGCTTCTTAATTTAAGAATATAAGATATATGCACTAGAAATTGAAAGAAACTTTAAAGTAAGAAAAGCAATTTTCTGCAGTGTAGCTGTGTAACAGAGCACTAAACTCAAGCTCCTTTAACCTGATTGGACAGTGAAGGGATTTATGCAACTTCCACATCCTCTTCTTTCACCTACAGAATAGAAGGGACATCAGATTAGCTGAGAAATGCCTCATAACACTTTTGATATTTTAATGATGGCTGGGTTTTCTCATTTTTCCTAGTAGTGACATTAATGGATTTAATGTTTATAAAAAGCTGAAACAAAGACTATTTGTTTATGGCAAAATTAGGACAAATTTGTATTTTTCTGTTTCAGAAACTTATCTGCATGCCATAATCTTGTCTACCTTGTCTTACTGTCTGCTTATTTGGTCTCTCACAACAAACGATATCTCGGAGCCAATAGCTAGACTGTACAATAGGGCCTACAAGATCCACAACAGACTTTCTGGATGGACACATCACTGTTTTGCTCTATCACTTTCTAAAGCTTTAACATTTCAAAACTACATAATGAACACAGGTATTAAACTGTACTATCAAATTTTAAATAGCGCTACCTCAGCAGCCCTTTGTGCTTTGGTACCAAAACTCAACACAAGGACTGATCGTTCCACCAGATCTGTAGCAAATGGATGTTTGCCAGTACCGGCTTTTAAAAACTGTTATGGACAGAGATCTTTCTTTTATGTTTTCACAAAAGCCTGGAATGAGATGCCATCCACAACATCTCAAAACAATACCAACACTGAGGCTTTTTAAGAAATCCCATGCTCGTCATCTGATGGTCAACTATCGCTGTAGCCACTGAGATAGTAGCCTGCTTTTCTTTATTTTATATGTTTGGTGATTGTTTGTACTGTGTTGATGGATGAGATGTCAGTCTGTTTTTATGTTCTGCAGAGCAGGAACCTGCTGAAAAACAGCAGTCAGGCCCGATTATCTTTTAATCTTTTCCTGTTTAAAAATTATAAATAAAATAATATAAAAAGAGGTATTACTCCCAAAATTGAAAATTTCCTGTTAATTTACTTTCATCAAGGCGGCATTTATTAAATGTAAAAAAATTGTTAAATTGTTAAATATTTATTACAATTTTAAATAACTACTAGTGCTTATTAAAACTTATTGTATTTAGTTTCAAATGAAATCATTACTCCAGTCATTATTGCTTTTATTACTATTACCATTAATAATAATAATAATAATAATAATAATAATAATAATAGTAGTAATAATAATAATAGTAACAATAATAGTAATAATAATAATAATAATAATAATAGCAATAATAATAATAATAATAATAGTAATAATAATAATAATAGTAATAATAATAATAATAATAATAGTAGTAATAATAATAATAATAGTAACAATAATAGTAATAATAATAATAATAATAGCAATAATAATAATAATAATAATAATAGTAACAATAATAGTAATAATAATAATAATAATAATAATAATAATAATAGTAATAGTAATAATAATAATAATAATAGTAATAATAATAAAATTAATAGTAATAATAATAGTAATAATAATAATAATTATTATTATTATTTTTATTTTTATTATTGATGATATTATTATTATTAATAATAATAATATTAGAGTGATTTCTGAAGGATCATGTGACTCTGAAGACTATAGTAATGAAGCTGAAATTTTATTTTTAAAATCACGAGTAAGAAAATGATGACAGAATTCTACTACATCTAAAAAGCGCAGTCCTTCAGTGCTCACCTGCTCGACTCCTTCCACCTCGGGCACGTAAAACTGCAGCATGTTCTGGATGCCGTTCTTCAGAGTGATGATGGAGCTCGGACAGCTGGTGCAAGAGCCCTGCAGCTTCAGCTTCACAATGCCATCCTCAAAACCATGGTACAACACGTCACCGCCATCTTCCTGCACCGTGGGTCTGAGGATTAATGCATATGATTAAATGCCATTGTTCCAGTTGAGTCAAAATGTTTTACTTAGAATTAGGGGTTTAGTACCAGAGCCGAACCTAAAACTCTAGGGGCCTTAAATGTTATTGCACAATGAATCCAAAAATTCGACCTCAGGTTGTGTCCATTATATTCACACACTGCCTGCAAAACTTTCATCCTTCATTTAAAAATTCAGATTGGGTATGATTCGCATGAGAAAAAGCATTTTGAGAGGTGTTTTGACAGTTCCGAACCACCATACAAGCGAAAGGCAAAATCCAGAATGTCATCACTTCAGTGCAGACCACATGACAAAGCACAGTGTGTAATATAAAGACAGAATGTGGAAGACAGTGCTGTAGACTACTGTATGCTGGAGTCATAAATAAATACAATGAAGCGATATTCGAATTGAAATAAACTGCTTATAGAATCGCCTTCATCATATAGCATCGCTCTTTAAGATCTCTAAATTGGGGCTTCTGGTAGTACCTAGAATAGCAAAGTCGAGTAAAGGAGGTCGAGCCTTCTCATTTATGGCTCCTAAACTCTGCAATAGCCTCCTGATAATATCCGAGGCTAATATCCGAATTCAAAACTAGATTAAAGACCTATCTGTTTAGTAAAGCATACACTCAGTGCATCACTTAGCGGGTTTCCACACAGGTTTCTGCATCTTGTTTATATTCACTATGAACAGCAGCTACGCTAATTATTCTCTTTATTCTCCATTTCCACCTGGGGATAATCGTCCCGAGGCTCTCAGACTATGCAGAGTCACTGATTCAATTCAAGACCGGAGACAAGATGATCCCAAGGTTTCCATATCCTGGACCAGGCCGTATCCTGAGCAGCTGCTGGGGTGGTCATGAAGGAGTGGAGAGCATGAGACTGATTCATGTGACGCCCCAGGGACAGACGGGTCTTCACTGAGGCCCAGCTTCCAGCCTCCGCCGCTGAGACTGCAGCTCTGCACAAGACGTTTGGCCAGTGGAAAAATTGAAATGGTGGTGCTCAACTGAGTCTGGTTTCTCTCAAGGTTTTTTTTCTTCACTTTCGCCAATTTGTGAGGTTTTTTTCCCCTCTCCACTGTCGCCACTGGCTTGGATGGTTTGGGATGTGTAGAGCTGGGCATCGATGGATTTGCCCTCCAGTGTTTAGACCCTCAGTAGTGATTATTAAACCACACTGAACTGAGATGAACTGAACTTAAACACTAAATACTGAACTAGACTGTTCCAATTTACTATGATCTTTTATGTGAAGCTGCTTTGACACAATCTACATTGTAAAAGTGCTATACAAATAAAGGTGAATTAAATTGAATATAAATAAAGTTACAAATGGTACAATTTCTTAAGCCTGAACGCTGACTAGTATTAAAAGGACAGTCCACTTTTGTTAAACAAATGAGTTTTGACCAATGACCAATTCTAAATCCAATCAGTCGATCTCCAGGTCTGGCAGGAGCACTTTTAGCCTAGCTTAGCATAGACCATTTAATCGGATTAGACCATTAGCATCTCACTCAAAAATGACTTAATTCGTTTTGATAATTTTCCCATTTAAAGCTTGACTCTTCTGCAGTTGCATTGTTTACCAAAACAGACTAAGCTGGTATGTCTCATTCAGGCTTAATAATCAAGAAACTTTGCTGCTGTGCATTCTGCTGTGGCGACCCCTGATAAATAAGGGATTAAGTCAAAGAAAAACGAATAAAAAGCACAGAGACATTCTACTGTACCTAATGCGCGTGTCCAGCAGTTCTTTAATCATAGCCACCACCTCATCGTCATCTTCTGAAGGAGCTGCAGATATAAACCAAGCATTACTCTTTTACAGATCTTAAATTTAGTGATGATGTCAAGACCACAAACACAAGAAGGACAGTACAGATCCTCATGTTCAACCTGTGTCAGCACGTGGAGCATCTGCTTCATTGATAACAGGAAGTCCAGAAGTGAAAAAGTCCATGATGGTTGCGAACACGTCTGGTTTGATCACCTTCCACTCTGTTTCACCACTGGTCTGAATGAAAAAACACACATAAAGATGTTTTTATCAGTGGGCTCTATTTTGACGGTGCATGCGCAGAGTGCAAAACGCAGGGCCAAACGTTTTCAGGGTGTGTCAGAACGCGTTTTTGCTAATTTAAGGACAGAAATATCCGCTTTGCGCCAAGGCGCATGTTCTAAAGGGTTGAGTTTATTTTCTTAATGAGTTATAGGTGTGTTTTGAGAATAAACCAATTAAAGTCTCATCTCCCATTCCCTTCAAGAGCCAGCTGCGTCGCGCCAAGAGCACATTCGCTATTTACAGGACGCAAAGTAAGTCTAAGTGGAAAAAATTAGCATTTCACAAGCAAACAGTTAACAGTTAACAGTTTTTTAACAGAAACAGAAACAGAAACAGAGCATCTACTGCGTGAGAAAGAGAGATAATGGAACTACTTTCACTTTCGCTCTTGGATAGGGAAACATTTACGCACAGACATCAATTAGTCTATAAATAAATAATTTTGTTTGTTAAGCGCAAATATTCATTTCAAAACTATTTCTAAATTCAGTTCTAATTTCCAGCAAACAAATAAATGAATAATAATAGCAAAATGTGCTCAAAAACCTGTTATATCCTAAAACACATGATGTGCCCCATATGGTCTAAAACCTGACAGGTGGGCAAATCTAAGCTTGTTTTTAATAAAACAAATATAAATATGGATATAATAAATAATACTGCTAATAATAATAACATTATACGGAAGCAAATTGTTATGCTTGAACTGAAAAAGCCTCCCGAGATGAAGAAGGCATAAAAGCAGTGATTTTTCATATTTATGTAGGCTAGAAAATAATATGTTTTGTAATATTTTAATCCTTTATATTTATATTCTATATCTATTCTTATTATATCCTATATATATCCTTAATATTTACATTTTTTCATATGTAAAGATATTTGCCTATTGCTCTTTTGTGTGTATTAAGCAGTGCGTAAGCGAGGCGCAACTCTGAGCCGGAGTTTAGACCAGGTTTGTTTTGGTCTAATGAAAAATCTATTATAGTTTCTCAAAATAGCAACGCGCCAGCGGTCCACCTCAGAACGCCTTCCTTTTTAGACCAGAACGCCTATGGGCGCACAAATGAGTGCTAATGCATTTGCTATTTAAACAGCGTAGTGCAACGCCTCAAAACGACTCTTGCGCCAAGCTGAAACTACCAAAAGACTATTGCGCCACGCCTTGCGCCACAATGCGCCGGGTGTATGATAGGGCCCAAAGTGAGCAGGCCCAGAAGCTAGCCTGATTGCAGTAGAGTCAGGGAAGATAGACTCCAGAGGAGGAGAGGAGCATAGCAGGAGAGCGCAGACCAGGAAAAGAGAGGGCAGGAAGAGCCCGAGTTCTTTCTTGACCATGTGACTAAAGCCCTAATGCTGAGACATTCAAACTGACCAATCAACATGTGACCACATCATAAAACCCCCACACAACAGGCCCTGATCTTATCAGTATCTGCCTTTGGAGTCAGTATGGACCTTTTAGAGTCAAAACGACATGTTTTGTCATATAAACAAATGCATATGATAATTTAGAATCTTACAGTAGTGTTTTTCTAATCTGGAATTCATATTGTTTGCAGATAATGCCTTCACATGTAAAGACCGTCAAGACAGATTCAGTTGTTGATCATTTATTTTAATAAACGATATTATGTAGATACTGCTCACCAGTTCTGCCCGTCTCTTTCCTGCTCTCAGCAATGCAAACGTGTGAATAAATGTGTAAAAATACAGACTTATTAACTGACTTTTTAATGTAATAAATTGATTTTTCGTCTGTTTTTTTTCTTCATCTGAACACATTTAACTTTGTCATAACTGCATTATTTACACTCCTCCATGAAATGTATAGCATATGTGACTGTATGGGCTGCTTTTCGCTGTACTTCGTGACATAAAAATAATACTGAATGTTGTTTTCTATCTGTATGGAACTTGCAGGCATATAGACATGTCCCTCACGCCTCATTTCTGTGTGCACGCGAGCGATACACTTATTTATAAATGTCTGATGATAATACTATGTAGGCACATTTACACATACAGTTTTAAAACTAACAGCCGTAAAGCAAAACAGATGCACTTCCCACCTAAAAACGAAGGTCTATGTCTATGCGTTTTTTGCGTATTTATTTGTTTATAGCATATATCGTGTATTATATTGTAATAAACAGCGAGATTAACTCTTTGTCATGTAGCATATTTCTAAAAATAAGCTTGATAAGTTGTCTGTAGGCAGTGTAGTCCGTTTATCCGCTTCTTAAGTGGTGACGTGTTTGTGACGTATGTAATACTGTTTCCGGGTCCAAGCCGCCATTCATTTGAGTGGAGAAATCATTCGTTTATGATTACGTTTTATTCCTATCACACATTAAAGTTAATTTTATATAAAATCATAGTGTACACAACAATCTCTGGGCTTGCTGCATAACAAATACCAAAATTTAACAATTTGTAAAAAAATGTATCACTTTCTGGCCATCGGATATTAGGCATGGACATATATACTGCAATCGTGATTTTCGAAATCATTAAATCGCTTTGTAAACGTTTATTATTACCATTTCATGAGTCTCCCCATTCAGTTGAATAGAGCGCTTGGACCCGGAAGCCGCTTCGCGTGACGTCACACTTAACAAGCGGATAGGCTAATGTTAGCTTTTCGGTTTTTGCGTTTTATTTTGTATTTTTAAAGTTGTATTTTCGTGTGAGGATTATCCGGCTGGACAAAACGTGTAAGTGTAATGAACATTGTTTGAACACAGAGCTTATTATTCGCAATCTTCGAAAAGCTTACGGGAAAATCCTATAGGGATTTTATCAAGGGAACCAGTGTTATGCTAGCAAGATAACGTCATAGTTCCTCCACTCTATTGGCTATTTTTGAAAAAAAGGGGAGGAGCTACTTTATGCCCCGCCCTCTCTTCATGTTTTGGTTAAGATTACGTCAAACATCGAATAAAAAAAAAATAATGCCCATTTCAAAGCACTTCACAGGACCTTCAAATATAATCGAGCATGGTGTTAGAAAAAACAGGTACTTTACCTTGGTGATGGTTATGAAATCAGGGCCGAAGAAGACACTCTTGACTCCATCAATCCTGAACAGCTGCCTGAGGGATGAAAACAGCATCAGTACTGGCATGGTGCCCTTCAGGCGCTTGTAGAAACACAGTTCAGCAAAAATGCGCAGGAACATTCTCACAGATGCATTTCTGGATTTAAAGCTGCTGTAAGCATTTTTTGTGGAACATTACACATACAGTAAAACCCCACACAGCCTGACAGATATCACCATAATGGGCATCTTGAGAATCAGCATATCCATCAGAAGTGGTCTTTGCACAGTCATGCATCAACATTACTATTACTCGTGTCCATTTCAAGACGATTAATATTAGTGTGTTCTTCCATTCGAACAACTATCAACAGAAATATTATATTTTATGTTTCTCTTCCTCCGTACAATAGAGTTTGATATTTTTATTATTATATTTAGTTGTTTGGGGTGCGACTACATACAGTCAAATATTTTGCTGAACAGATCCGCCACTTTTGACGCTAATAAATGTTGATGAAAGTCATCGTGCTGCAGGTATTAGGAGGTTTGCTGAAGGTGCAGCTGATGCGCAGAGAGGGGTTTGCATCTTTAGCCTCCTAGGGCCTGAGTGTCCGCATACATGGACAGCACATTTTTAGCTCTTAAGTGGCTATTAAAATACTTTGAATGTTTTATATTTTGTTATTGACATACAGTGTCATCCTGCAACTGTTTTGCAGCATCTGAAATGTCCCAAACTCTATTTTAAACTGTCCAAAATGGAAAAAAAAAATTGTTTTTACTCTCTGATAGTTAAAGCAAGTTAAAAAAACAATTTCTATGTTAAATATGCATAAAAAAATTGGGGGAAAAAAGTGTTTTATGTAAATTCGGACCATGAGTCCACATATGGACATCATTTTTCTCTAAAAGTACATCATATCAAAAGATGATACTTAGGTTTTTATTCTAATTAGGTTCCAATAAGCCCAAATAGCAAAGAGAAATAAAAAATGCATGTAAAAAAACAACTTGGGCTTTAAGAGGTTGATAAACTATGACAGTTTGCGTTCATTAAAAAGTAAGAATGATTAATAAATCTATATGAAACAGCCCCCTAAAAGTGACAAGGTGTCTTAAGTTTCAGGCTCAGGTCCGTTTTGCATTCACACTACAAGTGTACTGCATCAAAGCCCAAACGAACCTGGCACACCTTTCCAACCGGGCCAGGACTGGCCAACTGATCCATGCCCGGGAGCGATACTTGTCATACTTGTCAAACAAGCCGGGAAATGGGAGTCAAACGTGCCCGAGTGCGGTTCAGACAGCCTAGTGTGAGTACACCCTAGAAAATGAGAACTTTGGCAATAAATAGTTAAATTGAAGAAAATTAGACTAAATTAGATTAAAACAGAAGATTATTATTATTATTATTTTTTATTATTATTTATTATTGTCATTCATTCATTCATTAAACCCATCTCTGGGAATTATCCACACACACATGCACACACACACTCACACTACGGACAATTTAGCCTACCCAATTCACCTGTACCGCATGTCTTTGGACTGGGAGAAACCAGAGCACCCAGAGAAAACCCACGCGAATGCATGCAAACTCACATAGAAACGCCAACTGAGCCGAGGATCGAACCAGCCACCCAGCGACCTTCTTGCTCTGAGGCCACAGCACTATCTACTGCGCCACTGCGTCACCCTATTTATTATTGTATTTATTTTATTATTTGTTTCTTTTTTTATTGTATTAATCTATTATCACTTTACTTCTGTATTTATTGTTTGTATATTGTGTTTTATTGTCAATTGTGGTGTGAATGTCTGTTGGACCAAATTTGCAAGTTGTTGTGTCTAAAAAACAATAAAGAAAGTTAAAAAAAAAAAAAAGAAAGAAAGAAAAAGAAATGAGAACTCTGAAATAGCCTTGATGTGACATTAATTATTTTTTAATTCTGAAAATGCAATAAAAATACCAAATCACAAAGAAAACTCAAAAGAAAGTACATTTAAACATAAATTAAACCCTTTGATCATTTGATTACCGCATTTTTACCCTTTTCAGTTCGTTACAAAGTTACAAACAATCAAATAACACAGAAGTAGTGGGAGAACAGTTTATAGTTTAGATCTAAATGCCAATGTTTATGGTAAAGATTAAAGTCAGCATCATCATAAGCCTTTAACTTCATTCATTCATTCTCCTTAGTCTCTGATTTATTACACGTCACCACAGCAGAATAAAATATAATAATAATAATATCAATAATAATAATTCCTTTCATTTATATAGTGCTTTTCTGGGCACTCAAAGCGCTTTACACATAGTGAGGAATCTCCTCATCCACCACCATTTAAATATTCAAATATTCTTATCGCTGTGAGGCAACAGTGCTAACCACTGAACCACCTTGCAACCATGCCTTTAACTTGACGCTCAAAAATGAAAGTTGTACCAATAACATTATTTAACCAATAGGTGGCAACGACCAGCAATCAAAAATATGCCACTGAATAATTCTTCAAAAATGACACATCTAGTAATGAAACGTGACGCTTTTTTGAATGAGTTACTCAATCACTGATTGAAAACGAGACTAAAAATAAATATATGTTGCAGAAATTATAATGTTAGATTTTGCATTATCAGCAACAGTGGCGAAGATCATTTTTCACAATATTAAATATTTTACAATATATCGTTTCAGCATCGATACTACTAATAATAGTCACATCACAGGATATGCAATAAACATCACAGGATATACAATGACCATATTTAATTATGATAAATTTATTGCATTATTTTAATTTTTATAATACTACTATACCTGAATACTTGAGAACTAAAAAAAAAAAACATAAAACACTGTTTATTTCAATTGTATTTTTTTCTTTACTGTATTTATCCATGTTTGTAGATTGCTTTTAAGATTTTATAAAGATACAGAATCTACAGAATCATCCAAATCAATCTAAAATGTTAAATTCTTTTCAAATAGAGATATTATATAATTTCATATAGGGTGAAATTGTAGTCATATCGCAATTTACAATTTTCCTGGCACACTTTGAGCCCATTAGTACCAATTGAGCATCGTGTCAACGCCACAGCCAACTTAACTATATTGTTGTGATATGTCCATCCACAGTGTACTCATCTTCTGATGGCTACTTCCACCAGGATAACGGCCATGTATTAAAGCGTGAATCATCTCAGACTGGTTTCTTGAACATGACAATGAGTGTACTCCACAGTCTAATGGCCTTCAGAGTCACCAGAGCTTAATCCAATAGAGCACCTTTGGTTCGCATCATGGATGTGCAGCCAACAAATCTGCAGCAACTGCGTGATGCTATCATGCCAATATGGACCAAAATCTCTGAGGAATATTTCCAGTATCTTGTTGAATCTACGCCATGAAGGATTAAGGCAGTCCTGAAGGCAAAAGGGGTCCAACCTGGTACTACTAAGGTGTACCTAATAAAGTGGCCGGTAAGTTTATATCGCAGAATAACAAAATATTGCAACGTTAGATTTGTCCAATTCCGTGCACCCCCTAATTTTTATTCAGTTGGTTATTTCTCGATTTTATTTTTTATTAAAATTACCGGCTCTGTTTGTTAAAGTCAATAGTTTCTTGCAGTAATGTTTTTGCAATAAATGGAAAGCAAATGACATTTGTCTCCTCCGATTTCTCGCTGATCTGAAAAATGACCTGATCCAAACCGTGAGATTTGTGATCCATTACACCACCATAAAACACATTACATGAGAGTATGAATTGATTATGAAACATGAGTGATAGTTTTAAGCAATTAGATCCTCCAGAAATGTCAAGTCTACGTAAAAATACGAACTCTACCTCGCTAATGGAGAACAAAAAGCATCTCTGGGTCCGGCGAAGTCCATAGTGCCTGAATCCAGCACGGCACGGCCTGGAAGAAACTTCAGGCTGTTTGGGTTTGGAGTGTCTTGGGTCTGAATGAACATGTTTCTGACTGACAAAATGAAATGAAAGGTTATGAGCCATTCTGACCGAATGCTTTATCACAAATAAGCGATCTGAATGCTGGAAATACTCACTAAACACAGTGGTTGTTTGCTGAGGAACTGGACTTCTGCCCATTGTATAGACGGGAGGTCTGATAAGCCCGCTTCCATGATAACTGCATGAACAGAAAATAATCTTGTTATTTATCTTATTATAATAAATAATAATATAAATAATATAATATATTATTATTATATATAATACTGTTATTATATATATTATGTTAACATTATAGTATTTTCCAGATTTCCTCAACATCGTGCTTTACTAATATCATCAATATAAGGACTAAAACTCCTCGCAAGAATGATTATTGTAACATTACACAATTAAAGACAACATTATTGGATTTTTATTCTTTTTTTAATATTTCTATGATGTTTAACAGAGCAGGAACATTCTTCACAGTATTTCCTATTGCATTATCCTTCTGGAGAAAGTCTTATTTCTTGTATAGTTAACCTAGTTAAGCCTTTAAATATCACTTTAAGTTGAATACTACTACTAGGCAATATAAATTACCTATTAAAACTATAATAAATATTTTTTTCTGTGCAATAAATCACAGAAATGACTGTGATAAGTGATGATAATGTCATTTTAGGACCATCTAATGCCACTGATTATATAATATCATACAACAGCATGATAATGCAAACACCTTTAAATAAACAATCTTCAATTTTTTTTATTCTTTAGGTTATTTAGAATCTGTAATTCAGTGTACATGTCTATGTATAGCGTGATACGTGAATATACTGATTATTGTGACAGGCTTTATTAATCCTATTACAACGTGGCATGGATGTTGGTGCCACACGGGCTGCTCTGAGTATTTCAGTTAACTGCTGGTCTACTAGGATTTTCACGCACCACCATCTCTAGGGTTTACAGAGAACAGTCGGAAAAACTGAAAATATTTAGTGAGCGGCAGTTCTGTGGGCGCAAATGCCTTGTTGATGCCAGAAGTCAGAGGAGAATGGCCAGACTGGTTCAAGCAGATAGAAAGGCAACAGTAACTCAAATAAGCCCTCGTTGCAATCGAGGTCTGCAGAAGAACATCTCTGAACACACAACACGTCCAACCTTGAAGCGGATGAGCTACAGTAGCAGAAGACCACACCGAGTGCCGCTCCTGTCAGCTAAGAACAGGAAACTGTGGCAATTTGCACAGGCTCACCAAAATTGGACAATAGAAGATTGAAAAAATGTTGCCCGGTCTGATGAGTCTCGATCTCTGCTGTGATATTCGGATGGTCAAGTCAGAATTTGGCGTGAACAACATGAAAGCATGGATCCATACTGCCTTGTACCAATGATTCAAGCTGGTGGTGGTGGTGTATTGGTGTGAGGGATATTTTCTTGGCACACTTTGGGCCCATTAGTACCAATTGAGCATCGTGTCAACGCCACAGCCTACCTGAGTATTGTTGCCGACCATATCCATCCCTTTATGACCACAGCGTACCCATCTTCTGATTGGCTACTTCCAGCAGGATAACATGCCATGTCATAAAGCGTGAATCATCTCAGACTGATTTCTTGAACATGACAATGAGTTCACTGTGCTCAAATGACCTCCACAGTCACCAGATCTCAATCCAATAGAGCACCTTTGGGATGTGGTGGAACGGGAGATTCACAACATGGATGTGCAGACGACAAATCTGCAGAAACTTAATGATGCTATCATGTCAATATGGACCAAAATCTCTGAGGAATATTTCCAGTATCTTGTTGAATCTATGCCACGAGGGATTAAGGCAGTTCTGAAGGCAAAAGGGGGTCCAACCTGGTACTAGAAAGGTGTACCTTATAAAGTGGCCGGTGAGTGTTTAATATGTTTAGTTTATTTTAGTCATAGATTCTTGTGATTTCTAACAGTTAATATTTAAAAAACAAAATGATGTAAATACAAATTTGTAACTTTGCATAAAAAGTTATACAACAAAGATATTTGAAGCAGAATAAGTTAATCGGTAATTTTTGTAAGAGGTTTGCAGAAAACAGCTGAACTTCCAGTTAATTTTTATAGAGTTTTTTCGAATTAAAATACATGCATTACTAAGTGTATAAAACGATAGTTATTACATTTAACGTTACTTGTAAATATTCATAATATTGCCTGTCCAGTAAGTGTCCTGCATCTGCGTCACTCAGACCTTGTCAGTGACACTATTAAGTATTACGAAAACATATAAAAATAAAATAAAACGCTTCACGCAACATACATATCATTTAAAACTTCACGCAGATATAGCAACTTAAAGTAGAATAGCACAGTAAGGACTCACGTTCTTTTTAAAACAGCAGCTAAATTCCTCCCAAATCCGACGCTCCTGTAGGCGGCCATGCTTGTGAGGGCACCAAGGCTGCGTGACGTCACATCCTGGATCTAATGCGGGGCGGAAATTTGTCAAAACAGACCATTTATCCATTAATCCGCAGCACAATATGTACATGTGTGAAATCTTTTGAAAGCTAAACGTTCAAATGCTTTACGATACAATTGTGATTCGTACGTCCAGAAAATTTGGAGATAAGTAAACATTTCGATCGCCCTCTGGTGGCTGGTGCAGTACATCTCATAAACACTGCACTCCAGCAAAAAACAAAATCTATTTTTTTTTCTGTTTATCTAAAGACTTTGTTATAACTTACTGGCATTTTTGATAGTTCTTTTAAGGCTGATGTTTAAAGGTAAGTTTTTCTTTAAAAATATGCTGTTGACACAGTGGTTGGTTTATATCTATGTCACAAATCTAGTTTACATTTAACTTTTCATATCAAACAACATGCAGCTGCACTCTGCATAAATGTTGTGCACACGTCTTGGATATTTAGATCTTTATTAGAATAAATTTCAATTTAACTGAAACTGTTAAAATGCAGCCTAAAATATAAAATGTTTAAACATTGAAAAAAATAAGGGGGAAATTATTTATTGTTTTGCGCAACTCTCTCAGCCTACTCACTCATTCACTTTCCTTTGTCACTATCCTTAGTCACAATTGGCATAACTAATAATAATAATAATAATAATAATAATAATAATAATAATAATAATAATAATAATAATAATAAAAGTTAACCTGGTTATTACATTATTATTATTATTATTATTATTATTATTATTATTATTATTATTATTATTATTATTATTATTTTATGCTATTCAACTATTATTTATTATTCACTTTAAACAAGATTTATTTACTTTAACTCATTTGCACAACTAAAAATAATAAAATTAATATTATTATTATTATTATTATTGTTTTACGTTATTTAATTATAATTTATCCATCATTGTGAAAAAATAAGAGGGAAAGTATATCGAGAAAAAAGACTTTTGCTCATGTCCACAACTAATAATATTAATATTAATAATAATAATAATAAGAATATTATTATTAATAATAATAATAATAATAATAATAATAATAAAAGTTAACCTGGTTATTACATTATTATTATAATGATGATTATTATTATTTTTATGTTATTTAGCTATTATTTATTCATCACTATGAACAAGGTTTATTTACTTGTACTCATTTGCACAATTAATAATATTAAAATTAAAATAATAATAATAATAATAATAATAATAATAACAATAATAATAATAATCATCATCATCATCATCATCATAACAATAATAATAATAATATTAATAATAATAATGATAATAATAGTAATTATAATAGTAATAATAATGGTTGACTTGGTTATGACATAATAATAATAATAATAATAATAATAATAATAATAATTATTATTATTATTATTATTGTTATTATTATTATTATTATTATTATTATTATTATTATTATTATTATTATTATTATTATTATTATTATTATTATTAATAATAATAATAATGAAATAACATAGTTAATAATATTATTTTATAGCTATTATTTATCAATCACTAAGAACAAGATTTACTTGCTTTTATGTGTGTTTATTTATTTACCTCCTGCAAATGAGCGCAGCCACTGGTGCATCATTAGAGGCTGATGATGGTCGTGTGAAGGAAGCGTGTCGTTTCCTCAGAGCAGCCCGTCAGATCATCCTGAGCGGGTGTCATTATTATAAATAGAGGATCGTGTCTGTCGGAGCGCAACGTTATTTTACTCCTGCGGTGTGACCCGGATGTAGCGGCGCTTTACCTCCACTCGTCTGATCCTCTTATCAGCGGCAGGGCGGTCGAGATGGATGTTGCCAACCAGGTAGGGCTTTCAATCACAGCTATTCACCTGATAAATTTTAGATAGTACTGCAAAACTGCTCCCACTTGTTCTCGTGTGAAGATAAAGGTAAATAGACGTGCTGTTTGGCGGACTATTCATTCTGACAGGACGAATAACGAGTTTAAAGGAACGGCGGACCAGGACAAGACATACCTGGGCACGACGTCTCGATGACTTTCAGAGAATTCCTGCTAGATGCCATCAAATAAAACGCCAGAGAAAACATCATTAGTGATTCATAAATGATTGATAAATAACAGTGGGATGTATGCAGTGCTTTGCGCCGGTGATATTTACTGTGCGATATTAGAAATTTTAACGGTCGTTCGAACAAATGCGCAAGTATTTTCAAACGAGTGATTCACATTATCCAAACTGGATGTTCACAATGAAAACATGTTTATTTTCATGCTGCTTTTGAGAGATGATGCATAAAAAGCCGTCTCTGTGATGCTTATATTTATTCTCACTGATGTCCAATTGTCTATTGAACCGGTTCTTTTTAGTGATTCGAACGAACCGATTCGCGAAATCACTCGACGGTATAATTGATAATTTGATTAATAATACTAAGTGATTGATAGTTTGAAACATAAACGGTCTATTTAAACGAATATTAAAATATAAATGCTTCTGTTATTGACGCCTTCAAATATATGAACGAACTAGCTCTCCAATTCAAGAGAACCGATTCGCTAAATGACTCGGAACTCAGATTTAGATTTTTATTTTAGACAGCGTTTATTAGTCATCGCACATTAATAAAACAGGCACATCATACATGGGGATTACATATGGTATAATATTTGCACGGAGATTAAAAGAGAAAGGTTACGATGAGTGTGCGACACTGTGACCGCATCACAGTCTGCAGTGCCGCATTCACCCGGTGCTCTCTGGCCTTCTGCCCGCTGTGCGAGTCAGATATATCGGCCTGGAGCCTGTAAACGCTCGCCAGTTGCACTTTCATAAAGGAAACGTTGAGATAAGCAGCTTTGCCTAATTCTAATGCTTGTAAAGTCTCCCTCTGCTCTCGCGTGCGCTGCGGCGGGCGGCTCAGTCGTCATCCGTGACGTAAGCAGGGGGGGGCTGTCATGTTATTAGTGTGTTTTGAGGGAAGGCTGAATAGCGCTGCGCGTCTGCATTATCCACCATATGCGACTCAGAAGAAGGAATAAGCTAAAAATATTCTGCACCACACAGCCAGACTGAGGCCAGTGTGGAATGAGAGAGGTGCTTGGTTGTGTTGAACCTGTACGTCAAATCTTGTACATTTTGAATGAGTTTGTTTTTATAATGTTCTGTCATGCTGTAAAAGCTGGGGTTTACAGTCTTTAAGATACCACAAATGTCCAAATATTCATCAAACATGCAATTCAGCTATATTTTGTCTTGTGACAATACCCAATTTACACCGTGAAAAATAATAATAGGCTGTTACGAATGAGTCTAAATAATTTTTATTTACAATATTACACCAGCAGGCACACAATGTCATGAGACATTTATATTAAGTTAGATTTTCAAAATTCTATGTCTACCCAGCATCTAAGGACGTTATTCTGATGTCCAATAACGACCTCAAATGATGTTGATATTTGGTGGATTTTAGGTAGTGTTGGAAAGTGACCCAAATCAAACGTCGAGCCAACATCATATAGACATAAAATACCGACATTTATTTGTCAGGTATGGCAACCTAAATCCAACATCTGATAGACGTCATAGTGGACACGTCCACACGTTGTCAAGCTTTAACATCAATAGACGTTGATATTTGGTTTTGAGATTGCATTGGAAAGTGGCCAAAATTCAAAGTCTGTCCGACGTTGGACATTGACATCGGTCTGACATTGGATATTGACGTCAATCCGATTTTCATTTCCACCCAAAATGCAACGTCCCCACAATGTTGGAGTAAAATGTCAATCTGATGTCATGTTGATGTCCTGTGCCTGTTGGCTAGTTATATTATTGCATTGCTTCTACTACGTATAGTGCTATATTTATTCTTTGTTTACGTATTGTTTAGTTATTTGATTTATTTAGGCATATTTGAATCTTATTTTATCATATATTTTAATGTTTTCCCTCAATTTTAATGCCAAGCACCTGTAAATTATAAATGAGCAATTCCAGCATTTTGAATGTGACATTTGCTGTAAAAACTCAAAACATAAATTTGCATAAAAAGTTTACGTTAACATTATTTTAACTGTTTATATTTTTGAAAACAACTGACCACAGAGTTATACGAGCAGAAAAAGATCAATCTGTACACATTTTTTACATTTTAAACGAGGAAAATAAACATTTGTTACGGATGTGACCAAAAAAATATCCAAGTTAACAGTATTTACTTTGCAGAAATTCTGTGAATTAAACTGCACAACCCAAGAGAAACAATGCTAATCAAAAAGGATAAGAGTCTGCTCACTATAGAACAAAAATTGTTGGTTTTATTTTATTTAACATTTTTGCATTTATGAGGGAAAAGCTTCGTTATGGATGTGACAGATGTAAATTGGCATTTGTGGGACTTTGGTAAATCAAATAAAATTGTTTGAAAACATTGACAGAAATTTTTTTGAGTATTTTTAAAGTACTATAAAATAAAAGCTTACACAAAAAATGTAGAAACGATTTCGCTATTTTGGTGAAAACTTGGCAAGATTGACATTTGCATGGAATTCCTGAAATGCTTTATTACAATTGTAGTTTATTTTTTAAAGTTAATAGAGTTTAAGCATAAATTGCGGTTTTATCATTTTAAAAAACATTTAATTAAATTAAACACATTTTAGTAGATATTTTTGGCCTTTTGTCATATAAGCAACTTATTGCATTGGGTGGGAGGCGTGCTTTGGCTCAAGGCCTTAGGCTGAGTTCCTTAGTGTCCCACCCGAGATGATATACAGCGATATCGCACTGCTACGAGTGTGATATTGCATTTATACAACTGTTTGATGGCAAAATCATATATATAAAAAAGAAAATCAAACACGGGAGATTCTCAAAAACCCTTTTGTAAGAGTAACTACTTTCTTCCGCTGTTCATAGATGCAGCTAACGATCAGAAAACGTTACTAGTTCACTAATGTCACTTTAGAGCTAG